CCTGCACATCAGAGACCTTGTCTTGTGGTCTAGCAAGGAAAGAGGCTTATTTTTGTGCTGAGATGTTTTCCTGATTTGGTCAAGGATTTCTAGAAGGAAGGAGTTTTCCAGCTGAACTGTTTAAATGTTTGTTTTTTCAGGAAATACTTTATTTTCTTTTCAAGCTTGTTAAGATTGACTACTGTACAGGGATAGAACCTCAGTTCTTGGAAACATAGTAGCATTGCAGTTGATTATAGATTCACATGCAGAAATACATGGCGTTCTAGTCTCCACTGGTGTGACCAAGAAGAGGGGTTTCACACAGCCTGAACCAGTGTAGTTTTTAACTTGTGGAAAACATATTGTAGTTACATAGTTGGAATAGGGCCAGTTATGGGGACATTCTAAATAGTGTAATAAGTTTGTCTACTTTATCATGCACAATACAATAATATGATCAAATAAAGTTGATTAAGTTGTATGATAGGGCAAACAATTAGAGGGATTTGTTTGGTTTTCAACCAATAATTGAATTATTATTCATTATTATTTCTCATTCTGCGATCATATTCAAAAAAGCTGGCCGTCCCTAGCTGAAAGATGTTTCCTTTGAATTATCAGGCAGTAGGAATGGAGCTTTTCCTGTTGCCCTGTGCTTGTGTTTAGGACTGTGATCCCAAAAGCATCTCACTGAAGGATAATAAACAGCAGAACTGCAGATAGCAGTTGGCCCCAGGCTGTCACATTCTTATCAGAAGAAAACACGTATGGTGGTATGGTATGTAAAGCGTCAGTACAGCTGTAATTGTTTGCGCAAAGATCATCTCATCTGATGCAACGTGCTCCCTTTCTAATAAAAAGATGAAAGTGGATTTTTGAATACAGGTTTAGTTATGAGGTAGTAGCGTGTTACAAAGGATACAGCTGTTTAGAGGATGGACCGAGAGTCTCCCCAAGAAAATGATATGGCTGATTTATTTCACATGGCTCAGACACTGCTGTTAACTGACCACTAATAAAAAGATGAAAGTGGATTTTTAAATACAGGTTTAGTTATGAGGTAGTAGCGTGTTACAAAGGATACAGCTGTTTAGAGGATGGACCGGCATATTTTATTCAAAATAAAATTTAATCTCTTACCAGATGAGTGTAACATGTTTGCTTGGAGGAAAATTCTAAGTTAATGTAGGAGCAAAATCTAAGAAATGCCAAGGACCTCAAATTTGCAGTGTAGTGCTTAGTGCCCCTCACAGTTGACCCTTACTGCAAAAAAAAATAAAATAAAATAAAACTTACCAGATGAGTGTAACATGTTTGCTTGGAGGAAAATTCTAAGTTAATGTAGGAGCAAAATCTAAGAAATGCCAAGGACCTCAAATTTGCAGTGTAGTGCTTAGTGCCCCTCACAGTTGACCCTTACTGCAAAAAACAATAAAATAAAATAAAAAAATCCTATCAGTTGCAGTAAGCCCACCCTTATCAAAATAAGCAAAAATGTTATCATCTGTTTCCTCAGATAGTCACATGCTGCTGCAGGACTAGTTTTGTTGAGCACATTTCCAAAGGGAAGTAACAGAAGTTCATCCCTTAAAATGAGGTCATTACCTCCCCCCACAACAAATGTTAGGCATGGTTAGCATCTCTTTGTTGGGACTCAAGCCAGAATGCATCCTGCTCCAGCACAATGGGAACCTGCTGGGGGTTTCCCTTCACAACAGCGACTGTTAAAGATGGAGTGAAAAACAAAACCCTGCTCCCAATGTGAAAAAAAAGACTGGATTTTTAATCTGAAAAAGAAGCCACTGTAAGCAGAACACAAAGGAAAGAGAGATGAATGTAATAAAAATACAATCAGTATGGGAGGGGGCCTGTGCATGTTCAAAATAATGTCTGTGCACTTTTAAGGTTTCACTAAATAATACATATGCCCTGATTTCTGAGACGATCCTCTCTAGTACCATAGAAAAGCCAGGTCAGACCTGGGGGTGACAGTCTGCATATTTCTTAATAGTTTTTGTCTTTACTCATGCTAAATAGTCTCTTACTTCACTGGGAGCATTTGGAGAAAAAGATACTGAATATGTATTTGCTAGCATGAGTCAGCATCAGCATTTTCTGTTTTAAAATGGAGGCTTAAGAAAATATCCAAGTGACTTAGGAGCTAGTCTTTCCTCTAATAGAAATGTGGGTCCTACTCCTGCACACCACAGGCTCTGCCATTCATCATGTGGCAGGACTTAAAGGACCTTAGGGTAAAGAAGGGTTGGGAAACGGACTTACTGCTACCAGCGTGGCTTATTCAGCCTCAGCCTTTTCCAGAGATGTCTCTGGGTTGAAGGCTGTTGAAATGAGCTCCAGACTGGAAAACCTGTTGTGGGCTGCAGGCAGCCCACAGTCTGCAGGCTCATCAGCCTGCTGTACATTAGAGAATTGAGTTCTTATAGCATAGTGCATTAAGGGGAAATAAACACATTTAAAAGAAATACACATGGCATAAAAACTGCAGTCATTAGCAAATCATCTTCATTAATGCATTTCTGAAATCTAGAAATAGTATCTTTTCTTTTTTTTTCCCCCCCAAGAAAGTATGAAGGGAAAGGGGAGAAATACTATCTGTGAAGAAAAAGCTTAGTATTATGCATGCATCAATACTGGTACTTTCATAAATCCACTATTTATTAAATATTGTCTAAATAGCCATTACAGAACTAAATGCTGTGCACAGGATCTGAGATTTGTCTCTCCAAGAATTAAAATACTTATAAGAATTTTGACTTTTAATTTGAGTCTGGTTATAGAGATTGAAAAGTTAGCATCCCCAGGGAGCACAAGATGGAGCAGGGAAAGGCTTTGAGGACACAGCCTGACAACAAGGATGCTGTGCAAACACACAGGAAGGGCTGCAATCTTTGTGCCTGACTGCAAGAACATCTAAGATTCAGGGTGCTTTGATGTATGTCCCACTCCTGTTGTTCTCTTGATATTCGTCAAGGCAGTGGAGAAGAATCAAAAGCCAATTTTCATCTTCATTTCATGTTGGGATTGATTAAAAAAAAAAAAAAGAAAGAAAGAAAGAAAGAAAGGGATCTGAATAGATTGCAAGCATACAGAATGCCTCTGTCGGGAATATTGAGGTTTAAGTAACTAGTATTGGAGAAAATTTCTATTAGGTCTGTTAAGGGAATGTCCTGTAGACATGTTGTTTTTGTGGGGTTCATCTTTTACACCAACTAGCATTGAAGACAGAAGTGGGTATATCGAGAATAGTTACCCACAGAGGGAGCACTTACCTGCATAGGTATCCTGAGCAATGGTTGGAAACCTACAGTCCTTTTTTCCTTCCCATACTGTGTTTATTAATGTGTTTAATTTAACAGATCCTTGATCAGTCTTTGACATGGGCTTCCAGGCATGATGGCAATGCAGATAAATAATTACTAACATTATTGTTATGCTTGTTTGATCTTTTAAATCCTTCAGTGATTTGAGCCTTCGCTGTGATGCTGCCCCTGTCTGTGCAATACAGAGGCAATTCCAGACTCTGTCAGGATGACATTTTTCTACTGTATTGTGATATTTTAAAAAACCAAGGGCTTAAAATAGAAATGTGAAAGAGGAGAAAATTTTAGGTTCAGAAATGTGAAAGTTTTGGTTTTATGTTTTTAATCAAATTTTACTGACTCCTGTGCTTAGCATTTGTAAAAATTGGATGGTGTTCATTGGTTCTTACGGGTTTTAGAAGTAGAATGTCTTAAAAACAAGGGTATTCAAGGCATTTTGCAAGGCAGAAAAAGCTTGAAAGTCTGTTCTCTCTGTGAGCAGGTCTGAAGTAATGCTTTAGTCATAGGGAAACTGGAAGCTGGCACTTTTATAGAGGCTGAAATAGCTTTTGGTTTCCTAAGATGTCTCTGCATTGTTATTGCTTGTTCCTGCTTATGGCAGAGATCATAATGGATGAAGAGAATCCCAGAAGTCCCGTTGAACTTTTGGCACAGTTGTACCACCTCAGTCTGTTATTCCTCTGTGCAAATCTCAAAATTTTTGTGCATGGTGGCCCAGAAAGGGTGAGCTAACCCAGTCTGAGGGCTTGGGACCTTTAGCTAAGGTCAGGAAAAAAGGTTTTCCCCCTTCTCAGTGTACCGGGATGTGTTACACCCCGGCTGCTAAGGCAGCTCTCGCAGTTTCACATCATGCTGAAGTAATTGGAAACCAGTAAGGTGGAAACTGGAAGTGCCAACTAAGATCAGCTGAAGTGTGGGAGAGTCTGTGTTATCCCTAGCGTGCTGTTAAATGGCAGCTTCTCTGGGTGCTTCCTAGTTGGCGTTGCAGTGCCTGCACATGTCGGTGCTCCTTTCTCTGAATGGTGCCCCTCATGTGGGGAGCCTGACCCTGTCTGAGTGCTGAGAGTCCAGGCTGACAGGTGAGCAGGGCACCATGCCTAGCACCCCACCAGCCCCACCATTTGGCTGGCAACCTGGCTGCTGGTGTCACTGGTATTTCTGGACAGTTCTGCAGAGTTTGAGAAAAAGGAGTGAGTTTTGAGTGGTGAGTGACAAAGGAGGGCATGCTGTTTGCTCGAGGGACTTCAGGAATAGATTTGTGTATCACTTAGCAGCACCCAAGCTAGCTTGATTTGAAACATTTTTATGTGTCCCCAGGGTGGAAGTGTTACCTAACCTTTGTACTTCTTCCTGTTAGTGAGCAAGTGCTTCCAAGAGAAATCCTTAAAAGACGTAGGCATTGCTCTCCTTCTAGAGTGAAACAGCAGCTAGCTTTTCAAGTGAATATCAGCTATTTATCACTTCTGCCTCCCCTCCTACCTCCATGTTGTTTGAGCAAATAGAAACATTTAAATGTTTCTGAGTACAAGCAGTGTTTCTCCTCTGGCACGCATTAATGTGACTGGCAGGAACTGATTTTCCATAACAAGCTTCTCTGGAGCATCCTTTCCCTGCCCAGAAGCAGCTGTAAACAGCTGATGTTAATTATCGTCCACCTGCTGACTGTGCCAAACGGACATGCCATTACACTGTGACAAAAAAGGCTCCCGGTCTATTAAGTCCTCCCTCATACCTTTGGTAATGCTGATAAAATGCTGATCTGTTTTTTACCTCAGTGGCTGCTGTTGCTAAGCACTGAGAATATGACCTGTCTCCTGTAATCATCTGCATTGTATACTTCAGATGATCTTCCAAATGAAAGTGGAACCTCCCAAGGCAGCTGTTCTTCCCCATAGTCTTTACAATTCTGACCATGTCATTTCTAGTAGCATCTTGGTTTTGATAGAGCATAATTAAACATTGGTATTGGGGGCTGTTTTGTTGGAAGCACATTGCAGGAACTGATTTGTAATGATCAGCGTGATGTGCTTGGAAAATAATGACTAAGAGCAGGAAAGGTTGCAAGCTAGTAATTTACCATAGCAAAGTAGAATGCCATGTGTGCAAAACTGAGGAGAAAATGAGAAGTCCTTGTTGTATTGAAAGTACTGGTAAAATAGACTTGTAGCTTGTCCTGTTACAAAGAAGAAAGCAGACTACATACCCACTTACCATTTTGCTGTCATTATGCCCAAGATTGCTTCATCGTGCATGTGAAGGTAACTTCAGATGGGCTTGAAGCCCCGCTTGAACAGAACATCTGGTTTGCAGTGGCTGCATTGACAGGAAAGAAATCTATAGCAAATCCAGAAAATGGGGAATGGAGAAAAAACCAAACAAACAATTTGAACACTGAATAAGTGAACTTTGGTGTCAGGGTGTTTTGTATTTCTCTCAGCAGTTACTACCTTTAATTTTTTCTCTAAAGGTAATTGTTGCACTCTTTTAGAACATTAAAGGATCATAAAGCACTTAAAGTTGTAGTGGTGTAAGCCTATGATAAAATGATAAAAAAAAAAGACAGTTATTCCTGTTATACTAATGGAGAAGAGGACACACACACACACACACCCACACGCACACAAAAGTGTTGACTGCCCAAGATGTCAGGAGAAGCCACGGCACAGACAAAATCAAAGATTATATGATTTGTCCCTCTTGAAAGCTAAACCAGTTCGTTCCACTTGCTCCAAGGCAGGATCAGCATTATCTAAACTGTCCTTGGTGGTTATTTGCATAACTTGCTTTTAACACCCTCGGGGGATGGGAATTACTTTCAGTGATCTCTTTCATGACTTAACCATCCTTTCTGCCATCCTTACATTCAAGCTGAAGTAATCACAAAGCAAATTTGCACAGTTATTTTAAAGCAAGATCTGAAAAAAAGTAAAATACAGTTTAGATAATGGCACTGTACCTAGGGATTTCTGCCTACTTCACTGAATGTGGACAGATATTGTAAATAAAACGTGTCATAAAATGAGGGCAGATGGGGAAAATAGAACAAAATATAATCAGATATTAGACTGTAAAGTGCTTTAATTTTCCATGTTTTTTTTATTCAGGTAGTCCAGTTCTTCAATGTTGAGTATTTTGGATTTTTTTAAAATCTGTCATGGGAGATCTCTCAGTACTGGTTTGATCTGTCCAGCTTGGACATTAATGGTTGTGTGGCACTTTTGGAAAGAGCAGAGTGGTTTCCACGGAGTCCTATCCTGAGCCTTACCATGTTTATCTTCCATGCTGGGTACCAGATGTGTCCCTGGCTACTAGCCTTACATGTTAGACAGTGCTGCATAATTCACGTTCATATATAAAGTCAACTCCTGTGCTGCCCAGTCAGGCGGATGGCCTATTTACACCAGAGGGAGTTTGCATACACAGGGAGGGCAGGATTTGACCCATATTTGATTAGGCAGTTTGGGATCCTTTCATGTCTAGTTAAAGGTGTATATAATATGTTGTATCATTAGTAACTTGTTTGCCAAGGGAATATATTTTTATACTGTGCTGTAATTTCTAATGGGACTTTTCTTTTTTCTTGTAGTCTGACACAAATGCAAGTTACTTGAGAGCTGCTCGAGCTGGCAACTTGGAAAAGGCTCTCGACTACTTAAAAAGTGGAGTGGACATCAACATTTCAAATCAGGTTGAGTAATATTTTGATCGAATTTGCTGGATAAATACCTTTCTCACTGTTTCTCAAATCTATCTTTATATTTGCACTTCATGCCAGTGATACCTTATGTGTTTTTTTGATGAGCTATGTTTACATATTTTATCCAATTAAAACTTTTTTTTTTTTTTTACCCCTTACCAAGACATCATTTCATTTCCACTTGGAGAATATTGTGCTATTTAATGTTATCTTTCATTCCATTTGTATTACATCAGATCATGGGACAGCACATAAAACTTGAGACCTCAGAGCTAGTATATTCTGACTTAATTCATACTCCTTCCTTGTAATCTAGTTCCTGTAATGTTTACAGAATAATAGTTTTTGGAAGCAGTCCTTTCACTGGGATATAATAATTTGTCTCCTGATACGTTGCTTGCTATGCTGGAAAACCTTCACCAATCTTTTCCATTGCTTTTCTTTTTTTCCTTCTTTTTTTTTAATCAGAATGGGTTGAATGCTCTCCATCTTGCCTCCAAAGAAGGACATGTAGAAGTTGTCTCTGAACTGATACAGCGAGGTGCCAGTGTGGATGCAGCAACAAAGGTTAGTCAGGCCTATCTAATAGTTCTCTTAATCACACTGACGTCATAGGTACAAAGTGTCAGCCAACTGATTACAGACGTTACTGCAGCAGTAATTGTCCATTTTCCACTGGTGAAGTGGTCTCACTAATTTTTTAATAGAAGATTTTTAGATTATAGTAAATATCATAGGTTGCTCAAGATGATGTTTACTGATAAAACTGTAGATTCCTGTCTTAGTTTCTGTCCATGTCTTCCAGAGTAACTTACCCACTAGATGTTTTCAGTAACAGTATGTTATTGTAAGAAATGCTATATTTTAAAGTGGAAGATGTTCTTGATAGTATTGTAATGTATTCAAGCTCCAGTTTTGTACTTTTTCAAATATTACTGTCTCTCATTTTAGAAAGGAAACACAGCATTACACATAGCATCCCTTGCTGGACAAGCAGAAGTAGTCAAAGTGTTGGTTACAAACCGGGCCAATGTCAATGCACAGTCTCAGGTAAAGTAATATTTTTCTATTTGGTACTATCAAAAACTTTGCTGACATTGAAATCCTTCTCCCCTTATGAACTGTGATATTATTAAATATATTGGGTAGGTCTCATTGTATTAATGCTGGCTCTTGAAAATAGGGTTTGATAGAATCAGTCAGATTAATGTAATCCTGCTAACATTAAAGAAAAACATTATTTTTTGGCTGTTCCACCCACATAGGTAACTGACAATAGGTGGAAGGACAAAGTTTAAACACACAGCTGCCATTTTATTAGTGAAGCAGGGATTTTAGTGAGTATAATGCTGAGTTCATACCCATCTTGTAACTCAACATAAAATTAAAACTTTTAATGCTTCCATCTCTCCCCCTTCTGCTCTACCCCTTGCCACATGGTCAGAGTGTACCTTCAACATATCAGGTCTTGTTTTCCCCTACAGGCATGGCAGTGCAGTGAAATGCCAGGTTGTGTTCAGGTCTTCTCCTACACAGGATGTCAACCATCAGTTGAGATTAAGTTGCCCACTTCATTCATCAACAGAGAAAGCATAAAAATAACATCTCTGTTTTAAGTTGTCTAGAAGCCACACAGATGCTCACCCTTGGAGATGAAGAAGTGGAAGCACATCCAGTGGAAGCACACGCAGGATTCTGGAAGTGGTTGTGTAACAGGCAGCACAGCAAAGCATTTACCCTTCAGCCTTAGATCTGCCCTCCAGTATCCTAGGAGCTGCTAATTGTTACAGAGTCAGAATAGGTACTGATAGAATAGGAGAGCCGGGAGAGAACTTGTTCAAATGCAAGGGATCCTGTTTCACATAATTCAGTGTCTCAGGCTTAAGTGAGCTCATCCTCTTCCCTGATACAAGGAGGTACTGCAAGCGTATACAGAGCTTTTAGATTTCTCAAGTCCTTTGAATGAATATTTAGGTCAATTATAGAAAATTTGACATAAGGGAAAACAGTGCTGGTGTTAAGAGAAAAGCAGCAAAATGAAACAGATGAAAACTCTGGCTGAAAAAATGCGGAAAACACAGATTTTTGAAAGCTGAGTGTCTGTGCCATAGGAGGTGTTCCTGCATGCCTGTTCCATTTGTGTTCTCCCTGCTCAGGGGCTGGCTGTTAGTGTCAGAGAAAGGGAATCAGATTAAGAAATAGTCTTCTCATCTGGCCCAGTATTGCCATTCTTCTATATTATGAAGGTGTGAGCATGATAGAAAATGTTTTTTAAAGCGGGAAGTTTTAAAAATGTACCTTCTAAGGAAATATTGGGGCTTTTTAACGATCTCTCAAATAATATGAGCAAAATGTTTAATAGAATCTATTTCAAAAATGTTAGTTATTTATGATCTTTATTTCTTGTTTCCTTTACCTGGACAAAGAAAATAGGCTACTCAGTTCTCCTGTCTTATTCTTTTATACTAGTGAGATACAGAAATATTTGGTTCCAGGCATTATATAATTTGAATTTAAAGGGAACAACAAAACGTAGCTTTAAGTACAATCTTCCATGACTGTTAAGAAACAAAACAAAGCAGAAATATTTCCAGTGGTTTTCCTGTTAAAGAAATTAAGATGACTTTGAAAGGATATTTTATGCTTGTGTTTGAGAACTTGTGTATTCAGCCCTAAAACTAAAAATAATCTGAGATTGTAAGCATTTTATGTAACTGCATTGTCCATACACCCTAAGGTTTTGCCACATGTTACCTTTATTTTCCTAACATATGAGAATTAAAGATTTTTTTTTCCCCCCCATTATGGATGCCTTTGATGTCTTTGCTTGAGAGACGTATGTATTGGCCATTCCACACCAATACCTGGCAGTGAGATACTCCCATTGGGTTTAGTCTTTTTGGGAGGTCCCTGGACCACCATGTTACCAGACTGCCCCTGGACCAGCTTTGTCCGTGGTATTGAGCATCGCTTGAGTCTTCCCAGAGCTTAGAATAAAGTTCTGCTGAATTTGGCACACCCACAGACTACCCAAGTTTTTTTTGTTTTGTTTTTCTTTTTGAAAATAAGTGTTTCCTGCTTCCATTCTAAATGCAAATGTTTGAAACTAAAAAAAATAATCTTTGTTTCTAGCTAAGTTAGTAAATAGATATTGAGTATGCCATGAAATTATAGGGAAAAATGCCAGACTCACTATAATAATAACCAGCAATGTGACATATTAGGTACATTAGCAATCACTTTCTGGCTTCTTTGTTTTTTATTAAGTAGAATTTTGACTGTATAGTAACAAAACCGTTAGGCCTTGCTTCTGGAGAGTGCATTAACATGTTGCTAACTTTAGGCTTTGCCTCCAGTAGGACTTCAGTGTCTGCTTTATGGTTGCAGCGATGCTTTCCTGAATAGAGACCAAATTATCAAGAACTGGAACAGCAACAGACCTTGCAGCCTGTGCAAGCCTTGTAAACACGTGGCTTCACAGCTGCTCAGTGTCTTGTTGATAGTAGGGTTCCTCTTGAATCAAACATCCAGTTCACGCCATTTCCTCTCCAGCTGTCCTTTCTTCTGACCTCCTATTTGTCTGTGCTGCCAGTGAAGCCTGCATGCTTGGCCTCAGGTCACCTGCACTCTCCTGCGTGCTCTTGTGTTGGACGTGTGCCCTGCAACTCTGCCCTGTTGCTGTGACAGTCAAATATGTCTCAGCTGTTTTCACTGTGGCTACTATAACTATGCCAAAATTCACTGCTATAGGTTTTAGGCCATGGTCTTCCTTCATCTCTCCCGAGCCCAGAATGTTGATGTTTTTTTCTGTGATGCAAATATACGGCCAAACTCTTCTCAGCTCATCTTTGTTTGGCTCCATTGGTTTCCTGCAAAATCTAGGTCAGTGTCCTTTGTAACTGTTCTAGCTGAATAGCTAAGATGCTTTCCCTGTGCCTTCCAATCTGCCGAAATATCTGCCATGGTCACGCTGCAGAAGTGAAAGTGCTGATACTCTCAGCCAAACCCAGTCATATGGAAGCAGTTCCTGAAGTTCTCTGTTATTTAAGCCAGATGAAATCTCTCTTCTGTTTCACCTGTTATTTTTAGCTAGCGTTTACCTCCTGTTTTAGTTTGTATTTCCTTTCCTCCTTGTTCTCTCCACTCTCCAGAGTAATCACCAGAAGTGATTACTTCTGGTGGTAGAGTGTGTGGTAGAGCGAGAGGTCTTGGGGGAGATCTTTGGAGGGAGCAGTTGAAGAGGGAAGCTGCTACTCTCACTGCAGCTGACACTGCGTGAAGTTTACTTAAGAGAAGTCTGAGGTTCACAGAAATCCCAATGGCATGATATCTGGAAGATAGTGAGAAGAAAGACAGAACCCTAACGGAGCCCACTAAAACCTCAGTGACCTCCTGGCCAAAACATTTAATGGTGTCATCACCCATGCTGTTACCATAAGGAAAGGAATCTGGCAAAACCTAGCAGTGGTATGTCTGACAGAGTAATGCCAGAGTGCGAAGGGTAAAAACAGGTATCATGATAGATCAGAGGAGGAAGGGATTGCTATTCTTGTTGCTGAGGCTGCTTTGGTTGCTTCAGCAGTACCAAACTCTCAGTCAATAGCATATGGACATTTTAAGTTGTTACTATGAAAGGTATTTACCACTGGTTCAAAATTCTGTTGAACTAAGGGACATGCAGTACTATATGAAAGCCAAGCAATTTCAGGTCCAAATCTGCAACTACTAAAAATTCCTTTAGAGGTATCTTGATCCCAGAACAGTTCTCATTACTTCATTTTGCTGTTTTTGTTTTCTGAGGGACATCAAAGCTGTGAATTTTAGAAATGCATAGAATAGGGAAAAATACATTGCCTTAATGTTAATCCCCAAAAATTCAGTTCCTGAAAGGCTGTGACCTGTATACGGTTAGGGCAAAGACAAAAGCATTGACTGTAAGAGGAAAGCACTTGCTAAAGATTGAGTTAAGCTCAGCAGCCTCTAATACTTGTATTGCATTGATTGAATCACTCAAGCGTAATTTGAGAAATGCTCTAATGTGGTCAGAAACACTGATATACCTCTGTCTCAAACTACTGAGAACCAACAATCCTCAGATCTCCTGGTGCCTGAAATGTGAAGTAGCTCAGTGACTACAAGCAGGCTAAGCTCAGAAGGCAGCTCTTTGAGAAGACAAAAGGCATAAGTAGCTGGTACAAGTGAAAGAGAAGTCAAAGCTAAGGGAAAGAAGAGAAAAAATTGGAAAGTATTCTGAAGAGCCAGTGCTCTTCCTTTTGCTACACACTTGTATTTACCTGTCCCATTTTGCATTTCCATTGCTGTGGCTGTGTTTATCAGGAGTCATAACTCATCTCTACCAAATGATCTGTCCAGATTAGTTTTTACTTTAACTTCACAACTGATATAAAAGGAAGTATTCTTGCTTAGCTATGGGAATTGTATCTGGTCAGCATAAAAATTCTACTGTGTCCTTTTAAATAATATTACCCTTCTCCTGTCTTTACTTAAATCAAGGGAGATCATGTCATTAACCGCCAAGTCAGTGCACAGTTTATTTGGTTTCCTCCTAATCAACCTGAGTTTGGCAGATCTGTGGTATGTATGAAGTATTTGTGGAGTGTTTACACTCTTGTTTTCCTGTTTCAGAATGGTTTCACTCCACTGTATATGGCAGCCCAAGAAAACCACCTGGAGGTTGTTAAGTTTCTTCTTGACAATGGTGCCAGTCAAAGCCTTGCCACAGAGGTAAAAGTTTTAATTTTACACTTTATGAACAAAGTAAAATGTACTTCAGCAGTGATTCTTGACAGCTTATATCAAACTAGTCTTTTAAGTACAAAATTATAGACCAATAAAAATTTCTCTCTGTGAAGTGTGCTAATGAAAACTGAGTTACTGGCTTTTCAGCAATTTAAACCATCTCTTGCCATTTCTAAAATTAAAAATTACTTTAACTAGAAACAGTTCTAAAAATAGGTGTGTTCTTAGTCATAACTGGTAATCTTTCAGGGTAAGTGCTCGAACAGGGAAGCTGTGTGCATAATATGAAAGTTCACTGTGCTTTCCTTAAAAATAGTGAGTAATGTGGAGGACAACCATAAAGCAAGGACAACTGTTTACCTGTGCCTTGGAGCCAGCCCTGGGACATCAGGGAAAACCCAGGGTTGCTTAGTGCTTGGAATATTTTCCGAACTGCATTTATTGCCATTGTGATACCCTCTCAGTAGCTCCTAGTTATTCCAGTTGATCCTGCGGTGACATTTTCAAGCTGACGGAAAGATGCATGGTCTGTCCTTGAAGGTGTTCTGTGATCTTTCTAGAATAAAGATATCTTGCTTTAAAAAGTAACTCTTAACTCAAATAAGGCAACCTGGAAGGAAAAATAATTAAATATTATTTATTTTTATTAATATAAAAATATTAATAGCTGTACTTAATTGAGATAGATTTTTTAATCTGATGAATTTTCAGTTTTCTTAATTCTAGGATTTTGTTACAAAAAAAAAAAAAAAATATATATATATATTGCAGTATGTGCTATCTCTAATACTTATTAAATTATGATTGCTCTATCTGGACTGATTCCATGAAGGAAATAATGTTTATTTGAAAAAGTCCTACTTTTTGCAAAATATGAAATGCAAAATTCGTTTATTGCATCACTGTACCTCATAATATCACGGTATAATAATGTACGTATGGAATCTTTTCTTCTGAAGTCAGCACTGTAAAAAATGAATCACTAATGGATCAAAATCATGTTTTCAAAATCAGTAAAAGTTAGTTATAATTATTTATATTTCTATTGTTTTGTAAAAACTTGGAAACAAAAGTCATGGGGACCCCAGAGATGTACAATAGGTTCAGACTTTTGGAGATATTCTTGCCACTGTATGATTTTCTGAAAACATAAAATTTTAAAATTGTGCATGGGTAGTTGGTTCTTTTCCTTTGGTATTGTTTTTCCCTTGAGCATTATATGTCAGTTTAGGTTGAGCTTCCCTCCAACTCAGCTTGATGATAAGGTACAATCTAATTTTATCCATGGAGAATTCCTTTGAAGATACCAGACTGCAAAACAATGTTACCTTTACTGCCTTACTTGTTTTGTGATAGTTGCTTATGGATGCTTCTTTATTTTATCTTGGTCCAAATTTTCATATAAATCTGATTGATCTTCATCTTTGTAAGTGCAAAAGCCTTTGTTATTACATGATTGGCACTTTGCTAAATATTAATGAAAAATTAAGTTCTCTGACAAAGGTATTTTAATCTAAGTAAAAAACAGAACCAACTATTTTCTTTAAATTGTTTTTAGTTTGGGGGGGGTTGTTTTGTTTTGTTTTTTTCTGGAGTGGGCTTTGCCTTATGTTTTAAAGTGCAGTTGTTAATTATAGTACTGACATCATGGTACTTGCTCACAACTGCTTTTTTTGAGTTGTCATCTTCTGAGAGCATGTGGTGGAAATGCATTCTTGTTGGTGGTAATTTCTTGGTTGCAGTTTGTTTGGCCTTCGTACAGTAATCTCTGCACACACTGAAATGATGGACAACTCTCGTCAGAGTGAAGAAACTGGGAGTATAGGGGATGGCAGCTGTTCTGGGATTGAAATTAAGTGCTCCCTCCCATTTGTCCACTCCCTTTTCCCTAAGGAAAGGAGAAAATGTGTTCCTGGGATATATATATATATATTTTAAATATTATTGTTACTCGCATTTTTTAAGCAGAAAGGAAAGCTCAGTGAAAAAAGATATTGTAGATAGCTAACCCACTTTTCTCTGTGAAGTGGCTGGCTGTGCCACTGCCACCAGCTGCATAAACAGACCAGGAAGCCAATGGCTCCGGGTCACTAAGGCACGAGCTGTCGCACTCTGGGTTTCTCCAGGCAAGAGCCTCCATTTCTGCAGGAACTGTGTAGCTATTGCCAGAGCCCTCTTGTGGGGATGCTCAGGGAGCTTTTTGGCCTTCAGAGCTACACAGCATTTTTCACACCCTGTGCTGCTCTCTGTCCGCAGCCTGTGTGGTTGTTTCAGCCCAGGAACTGCTCATGGACGAGGTCCTGCTACTGGGGGTGATGAGGATGGTGAGCTGGAGGCAAAGGGGAAGGCTGTAGTTAAATGAGTTTAAAAAAATTTATTGGAAAAAAAAGTGCTTGTTAGGACTGAAGGAATTTCAGTGATTGCCACCCCCCAAAAAAATTTGGAAAAAATGCTCTTTTTCAGATTTCCTCCTGTTTCTCCTCCTAAATTGAGATGCTCTTTGTTTGGTAAGCCAGAGAGAGAAATTCTTTATTGAAAACATTTCTTTTAGTTCCAATAGTTAAAAAGTCAGCACTGGAACTCTGCACTCTTGACATAGGGTGAGGATCTACATTCTTCTGTGTCGTTGCCTTGCTTTTATTTAACACTTACAGTTTCACCATGACAGAAGTAGTTGAAAAGTGAAAGAAGATGTTTAACTACTGAACTGTAAATGGAGTTTGGTAATATAAGCTTTGGTTATATTGATTGAGAGTCAAATGTAATAAATAAATATGCCAAGCAGAGTCATTTGCTTTTGTGATTTTTTTGAGTGATTTATGGGTATTATCTTGGACAAAGCTGAAAGTATTCCTGGATTGGAATGCCACTTAAATGTTTGAGAAGAAGCAAAATCTAAATGACAACTCTTTCATTCTTTAGTTTTCTAAGGATCTATAAAAATAAAATTATAAAAACATCTCAGACTGTACTTCTAATGTGTTTGAGGAGTCTGCTCTAAAATCTATTAAACAAAAATCTTCTATTTCTCATGTTTCTTATTCTTCGCTGCCTTGGTTGGCTATTTGCTAGTCTGAAAGGAAATAATTTCTGTTTGTAAGGGGATTGTCCATCACATCCATATAAATTTTCATAAGTGGAAGTTGTAGTAAAATAATTGATATAATGGCAAAATGTGTTATCCATATTCAAATATTATTTGATTTAAAATCCACCTATAAAAATATATCATAGGATTAGAGCTAAAGTTTTTTTGTTTTGGTTTGGTTTTTTTCCTTAAGAAACATACAATATAAGCTGTAGCTGTGGGGGAATGGATGATAATTTGCTATGGAAACATCATTAACAATTTTAATTTTAATATTTTATCTTTTTATACCTTTTATATAATTATACACTTTATTATACGCATACTTATTTATGTAACTGTTAATTGGTAAGTAATTTCACACTTTTTTTCCTCAAGTCTCAATCATTTTTGTTTCTTTGTGTCTTATAATTTTACATTTAAGTCTGGAGTGAACCATTTGGGACCTGGTTCACCAACACTTTACTCCAATTTCAGTGTCATTGCTGGGTACTTTTAATTTGCACTATGCTACACTTTGCCTTTGAATTTGAGCTAGTACTGTTCTAAAGCTGAGATCTCTTCCCTTTCCCTTTCCACCTACTGGCAAGCTTGGAACATGTGTTGAGAGTCCCCATTGTATGTTGCAGGATGGTTTCACGCCTTTGGCAGTAGCTTTGCAGCAAGGTCATGACCAGGTGGTTTCACTGCTGCTTGAAAATGATACAAAGGGAAAAGTCCGTCTTCCTGCCCTTCACATCGCTGCTCGCAAGGATGATACGAAGGCAGCAGCTCTGCTCCTGCAGAACGACCACAATGCCGATGTGGAGTCAAAGGTCAGTTGTAAAAAGAAAAAAGATCTGATGCTATTAAGTGCTGACCACATGTATTACATCCAGTGAAGGTCTTCCTAAGTGTGAAGTATTTTGCTGCAGTTACACATAACTTTCTCCTGTAGTGTGTGACTTAGAATAATGTTTCATTTGCTTCCTTTGCCTCTTTCTACCCCACTCCCTTTTTCTTTAAGTCAGGGTTAATTTCTGCTGTATAAACTTTGCAAGTGGAAAATAATAAGCAAAATATTATCAGAATTATTCTCCTGGGAATGAAAGCCACTTCTGCAGTGGTGTGCTATAGGCATTGTACAATTAAGTAATTTGGTTGGTTGTGCAGTTGCTACTTTAAGAGCTTTGGTAAACATGTAACAATTAACATTCAAAATACTTGATCATTCAGCTTCCATTCAGTCGAGCTTCCTTTGTATGCCGATTGTGCTGTCATCTGAGCTGCTGTGCCACGTAGCAGTCATGAAGCTTTTTGCATCCATATCACCAGTGGTGAACTAACCGTTCATTTTTTCCCCCTTCTTTGCTTCCAAATGTGTTAACCTAGATGATGGTGAATAGAACAACAGAGGTATATATAAATATATATATGCATCATCATTCCTCCATGACTTAGTGCTGCTGCATCATTTCTTCCTCCTCCTTTTTGCATTGCCTTTTATAGGTTAGATACCTGCTTTAGATGAAATGAAGTAGCATGTGCTAGAGAAGACTGTAGTTTAGATACCAGGGCTTTCTGCAGCTGAAACTAGGGTTTAAAAGTAAGAGTAAGCATTCTTGGGAACTAACTGCTGTCATAAAAGGGCCATATTATGTAAGATGGAGTTTTCAGGGATTCTCATGGAACATATGTTTATCAGATATGTTAAGAGCTGCAGACAACCCTGTCATGTTGTGCATCCAGATCTGATTTTAGGCTTCTGCATGACACTTACCTTGATGGTGTCAGCAAATAGAATGATCTGAGAATGGTTTTATACCTGCAGAACTCCCAAAGCAAGGCAGTGGCAGCTAGCATGGCTTGCTAACAATTTAGAAATGCATCTAGTTCCCATAAGGTTTCATACTTTGCAGGACTGATGGAATTGCTGCATGTTTTAGCATTATTTTAAAGGGAAGTAAAACTTCTTAAATATGAAAATAAGTTGCTGAAGTAATTTTATCAGTAAGGCATCTTCTAATTAGGATGTTCAGACACTCATGGTGTCTGAACATAACCCAGTGTGATTGCCCACAGTGGGAGCCTGATCTTTATGGTACTAATCCTTGGAAGAAAAAAAATCCATATTAATAATTTAAAATCAACTTTGATGTTGTTTGCATTTGCATCTACTTTGAATTTATAAAAAACAGTTAGCAAGTATCTTTAAATGACTTGTATCTGAACTTCTGCAAAGAATCTCTAAGAGATTTAACTTGCAATACTGACATAATACTGTTAGCAACTAGATATTTCTGGTTAGAAATTAATTTCTTATAAAAGACAGATGGTTGCTTTAATACTCAATTGTTTTACTGTTGCTTTTCTGGAATAACTGAAAGTTTTATTCTACTCTGGTCTTCAAGAATAATTATGTTAATTTTTTTCCCTCCTGCATAGCAATATGATTTTGTTTAGACTCTCTGAGAGTCTATAAATAAACATCAGTGAGTGAAAATTTGTACAGAATTGGAATGGTGACTTGCAGCAGACTCCTATTACTAGCTTTTGTCAGTGATATGATACAAATTTTGGAGTACCAATGAAATATATATAAAAAAAAAAGTTTCTATTGGCTTTGTTTCCTTTTGTTTTTACAGAGTGGGTTCACTCCCCTCCACATAGCTGCTCACTATGGAAATATCAATGTAGCTACATTGCTGTTAAATCGGGGTGCTGCTGTGGACTTCACTGCAAGGGTAAGTGTGAAATATTAGTTATGCTCAGTTTGCTTAATCATCACTTCAAAATACTTTTTCCACAAAGGTGCAGAAAGGTACATTGCTCTTGCCAGCCAAGGCACCTGACCTGACTGCTTTTATTCTGTTACCGTACAATGTAAAGGAAGTTTCCCTGGGTTGCTGTATTGAACATGAGCTGTAGTCCTCACCTTTAAAAACTTCTGTTTTAATCAAAAAGAGCTGCTATTTTCATAGTTCCAGTGTTGCAAAAGGTGGGCTAGGATTCAGTGAGATGAATGCTTCCACCTGTAGCTTTAACATACAGCAGGAGTGCTGTCCCTCTTGAATTGTCCTCAATATATATAGTTGTTTCTAGTGACCATGAGGTGCAGGTGTAGCAGTGAATAAAGTGGCTGTACCTGCACTGCACATGCAAGAGTCAGAGGATACATGAAGGAGATCTGAGAAACTGGAGAGGCAGAAAATGAAATGAAGTATAGAAATGGACGGGAGTCGCTAACGGGAGCTGTATGGCAGAAACCACAATAAGGTGGGGGAACTAAGCCTCCTGACTCTGTAAGCTGTGCACCAAAGTCACGACACAGCCCAGGGAGTGACAGGGTAGTTCCTCAGATGTATGAAAAGGGATTGGGAGCCAGGAGGAAAATGGTATGGTCTTTCCTGGTGTCCCCTTGGTTTACTCTGGGCTGGGTGGGGAACAGCTGACCAGTGGCTTCAGCTGCATCTTCTTACTTGGAGAGTGGGTCCATGCTCCCACAGACAGCTGGACTGCTCTATGAGCCTGGTGCCAGTAGGGCCTCATCGTGCAGCCCGGGACAAAGTTTGACCGTATCTGCTGTCAAGGGTCAGGTCTATCAAAAGACCAAAGAGGAATATTGTGTGGTCAGGGTAGGGAGCATGTGGGAACAATGAAATGGAAGCAGAAGTGTACAGGACAGAAAATGACAGAGGTAGCTTATATATAGTTGTAAGACCAGGAAAATAAAGAGATGTATATGCACAGGGATATAGCAATATGAAGGGCAAAGAAAGAGATTGTGGCAGGCATGAGACCAGAGACAAAAGAAAGGCAAATGCAGAGGTAACACAAAATTTAATGAGCCAGGATGGAGAGCTTAGAGAATGGTAGGGTAGAGAGGATGTGGGCAGAGAGCTGAGTAGGTGCCATAGAGTATGCAAGGCTTTAAGGAGGAGAAAGCAGGGAGAGGGATTAGGGACATACAGATAAATAGAAAAGGGGCTAACATTCAAAATAGGTTAGTATTGGAAAATGCTGGAGCTAGAACTTCCTACTGAAGTTTTAAAAATTAGTTTGCTCATTAGTTTCTTCAATAATTGGGCTGTATGAATAAGAAGATGCCTATGGAATTTGACACCAAGCCAGGAACAGTTGTCAGTACAGAAAGTGTGCAAGAGAACATGGAAATGTGTTGAAATTCATGGTGGAAAACTGATCAAACTCTTGGCTAAAGAATACACATATTTCTCCTGTTGGTTTCTACAATATACCAGCCAAGAAAGAAGAGGACCAGTCTATATTAGTTGTTGACTGTGTGATATGGTTTGGGGAGGAGGCGGAGGGCGGGTGGGGGAGGTGCAGAGGGAAAGGCCCAAAAAAGCAAATGTGATTTCAGGTTATTCCAAGGGATTTCTGATACAGATTGAAACTGAAAAACCAACCAAACATACAAAAAACCCACCAAACCAAACAAAAAACCCACCAAAACAGAACAGAGACTGTTCAAGAATTTGCTCAGCAAACCTTATCAAAACAAAGCCGAGAAAGAGGTGTGGTAGTGGTCCCTAGGACAATAAGGAGAGAAACTCAAGGGAGCAAGAGGCATTCAAACTGAAGGCAAATGCTGACATGAGAGTAAATAGATATAAACTGGCCATGAATAAATTTTGTCTAGAAATTTAGATATTTTATATTAAGTATTAATGATTAATAATATTTAATAATTAATATTAAATATAAGTAATGAGATTCTGGAGCAACCTTTCAATTGAAGCAGAAAAGGCAAAAAAACACAATGTGTATTCAAATTATATTTATGAAGGGAATTATGTGGCATGGATAATTCAGCAGCTGCTTTTCAGAAATTTTAAACATATTGCGTTTATTACTTTTACAAGAGGAAAAGTACTATGCCACTGTTTAGAGCATTTGCCACATAGCAAAAAGTGAATTGTAGTATTTCCTTTTACATTAGATAGTTTGTATATCTAAAACCTTGCATTCTTCTATAGTTAAGGAACATATTTACATACAGCAAAGTGTTTGTGGTAAGTATTGCAAGCCCATTTAAACAAAATAATATTGTGTTTATTTAGCATAGAAATTACTATTTTACTTATAAGACTTCTCACATTTTTTAAAAAACAAAAAAACCTGAACAGTTCTTTTTAAGAGACTGTGATTAATAAGGGAAGTCGTTGGAGTATGTGATAGAGCAGGAATATAAATTTCAAAGAAGGACAGACCCAGAATGTTTTCCTTGAACTTTAAGTAGGAGTGCAGGTAAAAAGTGTTGGTGCTGGCCACTATTAATTCAACATAGCATCGTTCAGTGATTTATTAATGAAGATAAATCCCCAAAGCTGAAAGACACTATTTTAAGGCGTGATCCAGTACTTACTAATGCTGGTTAGAAGAATACTAGCAGGTACTGAGATATAGTTGAGTATCAAAGGTAAGGATCAACTCATATATATTCTCCACAAATTATGTTTTCCAAATCACATTCATCACTAAATGTATTTTATGTTATTGGCGAGAGGGAGATCCCAGGTTAGATCCTCATGAAGTTCACAAGCTCAGAGTAGATTTGGGGGTTAAGGGTTTCTGGGAAGTTTCTAACTATGCATGTTTTACTTTCACTGATAATGTTGCCCTCTTATTGCCAAGTCCTTAAATTGACCAAATTAGAGCATTAAGGCATTTCAAACCTTCGTAAGCTTTGGCATTCAGTATTTAATATGCTCTAATCACAGGAGCAAGGAAGACGAATGGGGCCTTGGGTCAACTGTTTCCCACTTGGAAAGATGATTAGAGATTAGCAATGCTACTACATTAGCAATTAGCAGCATTTAGTACCAGCACCATTCAATATCAACTGCCTATGCTTGTTTTAATAAAATAATAAATCTTAGGCTTCAGCAGTTCTGTTCTGGCTTAGGGGCACTGATGGTGAGGACATCCAAAGTAATAAGGCCATCCTCCCCTCCTCTTCGAGATCTGGAAATTCTAGGTTCTCCCTCCATTTGTTGTCATCATCAGAGAGAGGCAGACTGCTCAGATTGCCTGGGAAATGCAGATCGCAATGACATCAGCCCAAACGAGCAGTGGGCTGACGCTGTGACTCAGAGCACTGAACGGCTTGTTTGTGCTTCTGATAGCGGGGTGGGGGCATCTGCAGAGCACATCTCTTCTGTACGGTGGTTGCAAATCTAGGTAAAGTAGCTGTGACAGAAGGAATAGTAGCATAAACAACAGTAATATGGAATTGAATGTTGTTCTTTAGTGCTTATCAGACTGCAGGTTACGAAAGCACAATTGTGCTTGTGAAGCACAATTATCAGCACCGAGTAACAGAGCCCTTGCTTCATCCTTGCTCACCCAAATTGCAAAACAGGTAGAAGTACTACTAGAACAGGGACTAAAAGTGGCCCACAGGTACATTACAGCCTGCCCACTGCCACCTCATTGCCTCTTGTTGTTTTAATTTCTGTAAACAATATCCACAATGTGCTGTCTCTCCTCTGGAGGAAGGGCCCTTATTTGAGTTGTTGACAATCTAAGACTAGCAACAGAGCAAAGACGTGGAAGAGCTGTAACCCAACTAAAATCATACTGTGTATGTGCTGTAGCTTTCAGAAGTACAAAGAGTGAACTGTAGGATGGGGATGTCAGTTGCACTTTGTGCTTTTGCAAACCACTGACCATTTTCCCTTTGTTCTTGTTAAATATGAATCAACACTACTTGTGTATCTCTTAATTTATATTAAAGAAATTTAGGCAAGTATCAATTCTGCAGAGAGATTTGAACAAGAGCAGAGGGTAATGGTAACGGCAGATGCTTGTGTGGAGGGGGCAACATGAAGACGTGTGAGGTCACGATAAATAGCTTGCTCCCATCATTGGTGTAGTGAAGATGGGGAAGGGTGGAGAAAATGTGAATGGATGTGTAGGATGAAGGCAGAGATCTGACCCTTAAGAACAAAGGCAGGGGTGGTAAGAAAAAGAACTGGTGAAAGGATATAAGAAAAAGGAGAACAGACCTGTGGCAAAGGAGATCTCTTCAGCTGCTGTGTTTTCGATGTGTTTTTGAGGCCCAAGGGAAGAAAGAGGTTCCAACAATGAAGGCAGGGAAAGACATGGGCTTGATGATGGCTCTCAGTGCGTAGGCAGGAGGTGAGCAGTGGTGCTGTACTGTAAGTAAATGATGTCCCCAGTGATATGCAGTAGCAGCTGCTCCCCTCACCCCTGCCAGTATATACCTGTCTGCCTCTCAGCTGTCATATACTCCCTTGTTCCCTTCTTTCACTGTATCTAAGAAAAATAGGCATAGCTCCAGGAGCTCTTACAGGTGTTACAGTGCCTGCCAGCCTGGGAGGGTTGCAAATGTACCTGCTTTCGGTTTGCACTCTTCCAGCCCAGTGCCTGATTTCATGTCAGCTCTTCCATTGAACTGCATTAGCATTTCTGTGTCTGTGCTTTCTTCTCTAGCCTTGCTGCAAGTGCAGGGAAAATGGCACAACATGGAAAGCTCCCTCAGTCCAACCTCAGTCCAAGTGAAACAGGATCTCCTTATTGGACTGGATGTTTGCCATTTTGTAATGAAGGAAAATACTCATTCCAAATTGCTTGACTTCTCAGGCTCGAACTCAGCAATAAACCTGTCACAATTACTGGCAGGGTATGCACTGTAGATGTAACAGGAATTTTATGTCTATTCACCATCCTTTTTCTGTAGTACATTTTCATGTGTGGCTAT